GGCCAATAAAAAAAGACACTTTTCTTGCTTGACTTTCAAGACGTTATGAGTAACACTTTATTGAACTCTGATTGGACATTTCCACCACTATGTTCAACAACACATTGTACACTATGCATGATACTCCGCCACAGCCTTCTGGACGAGCGCCATCGAGAGATTCTGGCACGCGACCGCGATGTGGTGCCTGAGATCAGCGAGGTAGTCGATTTCTCCGCCACCGTAGACCACCCTATTGAACTCCGCCCCGACCTGGAGTAATTGATAGGATTCAGTGTCAGTCGTGACCCTACTTGGATATTCCATCTTCTTTAGGTACTCAGCCCCCATTCCAAGTAGGCGAGTGTTTCTCCAACGCCCTTCGATTTCATGTGGTGGCACTCAATGCTGTAGCAGTACAAAGTTTCCAAGAAGGTACGGCGACCACATGTGAGGAGGATATTCTTCACGAGTTGCCCAATGTAACCGCCAGCGCTCACCTTCAGTCCGGGGTCCACGAAGAAAATATTGGTCTTTCCATTCCAGGTACGTCCGGTCCATACCATCAACTGGCGCCTTGGCGACTGCGGTGAAGATGATGTCCTAGACCGTAGCGACGTTTGTCGAAGCTGCGCTGCATGCGTGGGGGTCCATCCAGATCGAAAGTACTGCCGTTTCTCCGCGCTAGCTATTCACAATGGGTGACTCCATACTAGAAGTTCGCAGCTGTTTGGAGGTGACATGAATTCCAAAGGTCTTCTCCAGTCAGGTTGCGACTGGAGATGACTTCATATCTTTGGTGTACATGAAGGTCATGACGAGAGCCTGCTTCTGCTTATAGAGGAACATCTTGGGTATCTTCCGCCCTGGTACTCGTATCCACGTCCTCTGTCTGGGCAGCGAAAACTTTGCTGATATGTGACTCGGTCGAAGTGACTTTTTTGCCCCCCCCCCCTGTATATATGTGCCACAAACTATTAGGTTGTCCGGAAAGTTCTTAGCGTTTTGTGCACCTAATCTTTGTACATTCACTGCTGATTAAAAACTCATTCTGCCTTGCTTCTCAGTTAAGCACCATCTTAGGAGAGATTTCTTTTCCGCTATCTGATGGTATAATTGCCGTTTCACCATTGCTTGATAAACCCTTTTTTTCAAGATTTTTTCAAGCATGTGAAAAGAGCACTTCGGACGATTTTTTTCTTCGGCTATAAATTGGGGCAATCCGCAATCGAAACAGCTCAACAAATTAACCAGGTGTGGGGGCCCAATAGTGCTAGAGAAAGCACTGTGCCGCAATGGCTCAACAAATGTCGTTCTGGAAATTTCAGCCTTGAAGGTGAGCCTCATAGCGGTCGACCTAAAGCAATATCTGACGAGGATTTTAGGGGGATTTGAAGGTTGACCCATCCCAAACAGTTCGAGAGATAGCAGAAGAGCTACGCCTTGGCAAATCCACTGTTGCCAGATGCGTCTGCCGATACGCATGTGGGCAATACGTGAAAAACTCGACAATTGGGTGCCCCACAATCGGAGTGACCGGCAGGAATCGGCACGTCTCGAGGTTCCTTCTTCACTGCTTTTGCGCAAAAGAATTGACCCGTTTTTGAACGGATTTGTCACCTGTGATGAAAAATGGATCATGTATGATAACAGGAGACGTTCCGGACAGTGGTTGGATTTGGAGGAACCACCGAGGTAATTTTCAAAGCCGAACCCTCGCGAAAAAAAAATTCTGGTCAGGTTTGGTGGTCATCGGCTGTTGTAATCCACTATAACTTTTCATCACCAGGCCAAACCATCACAGCAGAACCCTACTGTGAACAAACCGACCAAATGTACCGAAAATATTGTCAGCTGCAGCCAACACTTATCAAAAGAAAGGGTCCGATTCTTTTGCATGACAACGCCCGCCCACACGTTTCACAAATCACTATCCATAAATTGAACGAATTGGGAGTTGAAGTTCTACCTCACCCACCATATTCTCTAGACCTTTCACCAACCGACTGTCACCTTTTCAGACATTTTCAGAACTTTCCTGCTGAGAAATACTTTCATCAAACAAGACCGATGGCAGTAAGTAGAGAACCCTTTTCGAGATTTTCGTGGATCTTCGTTAAGGACTCTACTCAAGAAATTTCTCTTGGTAGATGAGATTGATATCTCTCTCTGCTGGTTGTCTTCTTTTTATTGGCCCCCGTACACTCGTGATCACTGAAGTCAGTCGTAGGGTTTTGATGGAACACCAGCCCCTTTCTCACCACTCATCAAGCCCCTTAAGCCACATCGATCGGTGAAAGACGAGCAGGCGCCGCGCTGACCGCTCATCACTCACCGCTGACACGCCCCGACAGCCATCAGTGATAACGACTGTAAGTGGGCTATACGACAAGCAGGTGCTACCTCTGAAGTTGGTGTGCCAGCTCAGACAGGTGCAGCTTTCTTGGAGAGACAAGCTCTCTGGATTACGCCGATTTACGTGAACATTTGTCATACTTTTTTACAATGTGATCAATTATGGATTGACTGACATGGTCGATTATCGACTGATATCTGTCTCCAACCTCTGTGCGACTCTCACTCTTTAACACTATGCAATTTAGGCCGGTATCGTAGGACAATCACTCGAACGTCAACTGAACAGTAAAGGCTACACTTGCGGTCATGAACCGGACTCCATGGAATTCTCCACCCTTGGAGGATGGGTATCGACAAGGGCCAGTGGCATGAAAAAGAATAAGTGAGCCTGGAATTTATTGTTCTATAGCTGATAAATATAAATATGAGTAAAGGTAGCGAAGAAGGGGAAGATTAGATCGAGGGTGCAGTGATCGGTAAGCGCAACGCGACCGCGCGCGTCCTGTGCAGAGACTTTCGGTGCAGCTAGTTAGCAAGTCGGACAGACTTAGCCATACTGTTCAAATACAAGGAACTTCGCAGACTTTACCATGCCTATTGCAGAAGTCCTGCCCATCTCCGTGGTAGAACAAACCCATTTGTCTCCAATACGTTTGGTTCAAGCACATTCATATATTGATAAGTAAACAAGCAAGCCAACGGTTCAATAAATATTGATTCAGGTACGGTAAC